TATATAACCTAATTGGTAGTGCAGATTTTGGATTTTCTATCGTTTCTGACAACTAGATTACTTTGGAAATTTACCAATTTTTTGCCATCTTCTTTGAAATATTCTAAATTTAAAAAAAGTGTAGTTTTGCAAAGTATTTTTTTAGTTTTGTCATGAAATATACTGATCTATCTACTTTTTCAAATTAAAAAATGTTTTAGGGACACTCAGACTTGCCAAGATTCTGTTGATCAACGACAATTGATTTAAAAATATTAAAAAACTGTTACAAATCCAAAAGATGTTCCTGCTACAGAAGAAATATTTGATAGTAAAACGTTTTTATTTATTATTTTAATTTTTTTTCAGATGAACTCTACAGTAAAATTTAAAAAATTGTATGAGATATCTGCTGGGGAAGTAGACAATTTGACATAAAATGGTTTCCACATGCACAGTGATTCTTACGTTCGAATATAATTAGAGAACCGGTAGTCATTACTAAAATATAAGAAATATGCGTTAAGTTCCACTTTAAAATCAAGATAATGTGTAAATATAATGCAGAATTTCATCCAATCTTTAAAAAAAAAATAAATATTTTTTTTACTAATACTGCAAAAGTAGATAAAGTGGTTGCCACATTTAGAATCTAGACTGAATTAATTTCAATAACTGTTCTAGTTGAATTTTTCTACGAGTCGAAGAAAGCAAATGTATTTCATTTAAAATCTCTATTTATATTAAGCAAGATAAACAATGTACTAAAATACAAAAACAAGAATTTCTGTTTTTCACTAATAGTAAGCATTGGTCAGATTAAAGTTTGTTCACCTATCTTTGAAAAATCAGTAAAAGTAACTTAAAGAGAAGTGTGAGCAAAATTTGGCTTGATCGGATATTACTAATCCAAAAAAAGATGAGTTCTAGAATACTGTGCATTTCACTAAATCAAATTTATAACTTTTTAAAACGTTTTTTTTACAAATTTTTTCTCTTGAAAACTTTGAAATTTATAAGAAAGAAAAGAGACAGAAGAGAACAGAGACCAGAAGACCAGAAGAGCAAAATTGTGCTCCACATGTTCACAGACGTCGTCCTCATAATTAAAATTTGATAACACCAGCAATGAAAAAATAAAATGTCGACATTTAGCACTTCTTAGCAAAATTAAACTGAAAAAAAGAAGAAGAAAGAAGCGTTGCGACAGTAAAGTGCAAACAGTATCATGACTTTTAAAAAAAAAAAATGATTAAAATCTAGGTAAAAATCGACTGTAGATGAATCTGAAGAACAGTCAATCTAAAAACGATATAAAAATTAATTTTAAATTTTTTACCAGTAAATATTTTATGTAATATAAGAAATAGTTCTAGACAATTAATTAACAGTTACAAAAATTTTAGTTGAAGCAAACTTTGGCTACTTTCAATATTCGTTAACTGTAGAACGCACAGCTTTTTATCGAGTTCAAATAGATTATAACTAAACAGAAACATACTAGTTTTTACGCCACAGTTTTAAGGACTAAAATTTATTTTCTATGCTTAAACTTAAACTTTACTTTTAGGCAAAGTAGTAACAGAAATACTGTAAGCTTCGTTTAATCAACAAACATTTTCCAACTTTAATTAATAAAGAGGATTATTTTGAGGAACAGGGAACGTCGTTAAACTTTTCACTCAACTTTATGAAACAGCTGAGAAGTGGTTCCACAGTTTTTTTTCATTTTTGTTCTTCCGTCAACAGAATGAAAATCAACGAGCTGTTATGAAACTGACAAAAATTGCAAATCTTTCTAAATCAGCATTTTCATTCTTTTTATATAGTGCTGAAAACTACAGATTTCTGTAATACTGTTTAGCAATACCACGTGTTGAAAGTTCTGCCAAATTTGACTGCAGTATTTGAAGTAATACTGTGGTAGCTTAATATAGTACAACTAAAGTTTTGCACACAGAATAACGTATAAAAAATGAAGGGAAACAGTTTATAGAACAGAGAACAATTAACTTCAATAAACTTACGAAGTAAAAACAACTTTTTTTGATTTTAACCCATTCAAGAGGACACCATAATTTGTCTGCAAACATAAATGCTATTTGAGAAATAAGAGAAGAGAAGAGTTGATTTTAACCGTTAAAAACGTAAAAAGAAAACAAAAACAAGCTTGAAGACAATTTTATCGCACTTAAAGATTTTTAAAAATAATTTGAAGAATACGCAAAAGAAACTGTGAGTAGATAGAAGCATATTTAGTGACATTTTGATATAAGGTTGTGGAACAAAGGTTCAAGAAATAATTTTTTAGTCAATAATTTGTGAAAACTGTTCAGGAGATGGTGAACCAAAATTCATCTATTATCTCAATTAGGTTTTTCTAAATGTATTCTTTTAAATAACCTAACATACCGCTGTCTGTTGTATCTTCAAGTTCCACCTAAAAGCATTTGCGTGAGATTTGAAGCAACTTTGGCTGAACGATGCAGAAACAAGTGGCAACATAATTAAATTTATCAAAACTGCTTTTTTTTATTATGCTGCTTCGCCGACAGTTGACCGTAAAAAGTTTTGAGTTTTAATAAAATGTACAAAAATTTATTCAATTTTAAGAATTAATTGTTATATATACTGTATCTTCAGTGTCATCTTCAATAGCAGCTTGCAGTTCTGCTAAGTTATAGTATCCTTTGCAGACGACCCTCTTGATTTCATTACTTTTAACATAATTGAAATTACCTAAATATTTTTTTATGTTAATAGTTTTCTCAAAGACAACTTTTAACTTACGCATTAAAGACTGTTCGCGTAAAGAAATGCACAATTACGTAATAAACATAGTCTTGCACCAAATTGGTCACATAAAAGTTTTGACAGACTGCCACAAAAAAAGTGGTAATTTATTATTCAAGCCAAAAGACAAACTATTTAATAGGCATTACTTGAGTATTCGCAAACAAACTCGTTATTCTCGGAGCAACTTCTATAATATTGTAACTTTCCATTAACAACAGCCAGGCACTCGAATGATGACCCACTGGTTAAGGAGAACTTTATTGGGTCAAGTACCTCATCGTCTTCCCAAACCCATTTTCCAGATTTGTAAGTAGCTCCAATCCAGTATTTTCCTTTTATAGCTCCAAGTAAGCCGAAAAAAATTAATTTTTGTTTAAAATTTGTTGTTTATGACCACTGACAGTTGTTGGCAATATTATGCAATCAACCAACAACAAGAAAATTGTCGAATTTCTTCAAGTAGAAGCTTACCGAAAACATTTTTTAAATGGTCGCTGTTCGAAAACTTTGCCAAACCTGTCTTCCGCATTTTTCTGCAGAAAATTCTTGCAAGTTGAAAGCTCAACTTTGTTTTGAACTGCAAAAGACGTATGCATGCGACAAATTTTTGCTTGTAGGTTAGCATAGAGTTAATAATCACCAGTGATGTGTAGATATAACATAATACTCAACAACGATCTATCTGTGTAGCAGTATTCAAGATAAAAATTTTTTCAAAATTTTTGAAAAAACGTGAAGCAAAACAGAACAGCACAATTCAGTCACGCTTCAGCCTTTTACTGCATAAAAATCAAATACTTTTACTAACACTCTTCAGCCTAATTTTTTCCTTTCTATCTTAAACTTTCCATCTTATTGTTTCATTATTTGATTTGTGTATATAAGTGAATAAATAAATAAATTATTATCTGATTTATATTTTTACCTTTGTTTTTTCAATCACAATTAAAATTGTTTCTTTCAGCAATATTTATAAAATAAATTTTTGAATACAATTTTCTAAATTTTTTTTATATTGTTACTGAATAAATTGATATGAACTATTGCAATTTTTCAATCTGTTAATTTTTTAAAACACAAATTTATCAGAAGTTCAATAACTGTAACAAAACATCTTCTCGCTTTGCCACAAATTAAAAAGTAAAGAGAAGTCAGCGAATTAGTCAAACAGAAAATACTTGCTTGCTTGATTTATTTTCTAGTGATCATTAAAGCTTAAATTACAAAGGTGTTTTGAACAAGACACTCACTGCTTTAAAACATGATCCGGCAAAGAAAGTCCAGCCTGGGTAACAAATTGCATCTAAATAGCAATGCATCTGCAGATTAAACTTTACTTTAATCATTAAATTCTGTTAAAATAAAACGTTAAAAGTAAATTAATTGCGAAAAAAAGTCTAGTTCAAGAAAGATTATTAAAACTCATTAATTCTAAAACGCCTTATCAAAATCTTATCAAACCGCTACGTAATCAGAGCAGTCTCCTCATTTTTAAATTGTTTAGTACGGTATAAATTTGTACCCAATATCTGAGCAAAATAAACGTAAAATTTTATAAAATTAGATTACGAGAAAACTATTTCTTGATATCAGAACTACTGTAATCATCTAAACCACAGTTACCTTTATTTTCAGAGCTAACTAAAAATTGATGAACACCAGCGCCGTAATGAATGTTCTCATTAAGCAAATCAGTTTCAGCGTACACATTTAGCTCGTTGTTTGATATTGACATAGACACAGGTATTCTTGAAAATTCTGGATGTTCGTAAAAGATCTCTGCAACCAAATCTATACATACAAGAAATAAAGTTTACGCAAAAAACTGTAAAGTAATTAACAGTTTTTACAAGCACAGTAAAACTAAAAACGTTTCGCAACACAAAAACCAACTATAGCATTGCTTCAAACAATAAAACAAAGATTTCTATTTGAAAAAGTTTTTAAGAAATTAATATTTACTGTACAGATATTTAAACTCATCGACATTTTCAGCGTAAAGTAGTCGACCATTCAGTCGATTAATACAAAATTTATCTGCTTTGATGTACATTTCCGTTTGATTTCCTGTCGACAATATTTCTGACTCTTTACGGAACTTATTAGTAACCTGAGACAAGAAAGTATTTCAAGAAATAGGTTAAGGACACTTTTAATTCTTTGTTTATTTAAAGCTGTAACAACAGAATTAAAAAATGTCGTTTATTTTTAGTAGATAATTCACGACAGATTAAATATTACTTTTCATAAAAGCCTAAAAATTTGACGTTTTTAGCTGCCAATTCATTTTTAGCAAAACTGTTCAGTCTCAAAATCTCTGTTTTGGCTCAAAAAAATCTTGGTAATACTTCCGTTTTAATTTTTTGTGGTACGAGAAATGTGGAAGAATTACCTGTAAGCCTAGAAGCATTGAAAAGCTTGTACTTTTGACAACGAAAAAGTAAATATTGAAGAAAAAAGTATACAGTTAATTTAGGTAGATTTCCTCACTGCAATACTTAAGTTACTAAAAAAGCATTGAAAATTAAGTAAAAAAATGAAAAAAATTGAAATAGCCAAAAAATTTTGTCTCTCTTGACATTACATGAGTTACTTTTGGTGATTCTCTTCAAAACCTATAATATAAAGCAAAATTGAATAGGTATAACTTTTATCTAAACTTTACCCTTTGGATTATAGACGTTAAACTTTACAAAGAAATTCAAATATACATTTGTTAAAAATTTTTTTTTAGTTTTTCGTCTTATAAATAATAATAACAGATAATTCTTCAAAACGCCTTGTATTTATGCATTTGGAAAACAAGGCTTAAAGTAAAAACAATAAGTCTTCGCCTGATGTAAGCATTTCATAAAAGAAATATTCAAACACCACAAATATTGGGTAAAGAAAACCGAAATGCAAGCTGTGAGTCAACTTTTACAGCAGAACAACCCGAATTTCTCATAATTGGCTCTATTCGTTCTGCTCAAAATGACAAACTGCCACTAGCCATTAGCAGCAAGTGTTTTTCAAAATTATCTGTTTTAGTTTTATTTCTTATAAACTTGTTTCTAAAAAACTGACAATTTCATTTATTGAACCGAGTAATTTCAAGTTTTAATTTTTTGTGAATTTCAAACTAGCCTTTATTTACTCTTTTACTTTTCGTTTTTTAAAAAATTTTAAAACGTTTTGATAGAATAAAGTTTAAACATAGGTGCACCTAAAATCGACATTAATATTCAAACGGTAAACCTTTTGAAACAAAAAAAAAAATGTATACTTGAAAATCGTAAATACAGTAGTTCCAAGATCCGTCACCGACTATAGTGGCTCGTGGTTCTTGCAGATAAAATTCTTCCAGTTTTATAAACCTACCACAATCGGCAAGTTCAGCGAGCTCTAAATACGTTAACAGCTTTTTTATAGTAAGCTAACTGCCGCAGCATTTAAAACTTTAGCAAACCTGCAATTCATCGCTAAATTAAAGTACTTCGTCTTGTTAAAAAAAAATAAGTCACAGGTGAGATATATTTGAAAAACTCTTCAATTTTACACCGTATAAAATGCAGGATTCGCACTGCTGTTAAAATTTCATTAACCGATACTTTGTTTGCTATTTTAAACAGAAATCAGTCAATAGTGAAATGACTGTTAAAAAACAAGATGGCTAAGAATAGATTTTGATAGAGATGACCCACTTTGCAATAATTTTTTTTTCTTTACTTTTTTTCTTGTTGTCTCTAGAGGAAGATTAGTGGAGAAGAAGTTGCTAAAGATCACATCAAATATAATTCAATTTAAGTTGAGTTGCTTACACCTCTCCTTATGTGTAAGCGGAAGGTCTGAGACGAGGTGCATACGATTGATCATGCACATAGTGCACGTAAAGAGCGAAAGCCATAGTTACTTCTTGAATTATGTACAGCCTAATATAGATCATAACTCGACAAGAAAAGTGCCAAGAACGCTTAACTGAGAGAAATATAGTAATAAGTCAAAACTAACTGTACTAAAAAAGGCCAAATAGCCAAAATACAAATTCTAACAGATTGCACGATGGGAACAATTAGAAGCGGAAGGAGAGACTCAAAGTTATATAAAACAAAGAAACAGCTTTTTTATAAAACAGTAGAATAAACTTTCTGTAGAAAGCTGGTAAAAATAAAGTTAAAAGTACCGTCATTTCAGCAGAGAATTCTACGCTTTAAAGTGATAAAAATGTTGTACTTTTACCAACAACAAGGTACTAAAAATCAGATTTCCAAAATTCGGTAAAAACTCAACAAGATGTTTTAAATCATCAAAAGAATTTTCAGTGTTATATCACATACAGGACACCCAGCCAGTTCAAAAGTTCGCCGCAGGTGTAGAATTTT